TGGCTTCTATTCTACTTCTGACTCCAGCTGATTGTGGAGCAGCTTCAAATACCTGGGTGTCCACATCAGTGAGGACCTCACTTGGACACTTAACACCACACAGCTGGTCAAGAAGGCCCAACAGCAGCTGTACTTCCTGAGGAGGCTGAGGAGGTTTGGTATGTTGCCTAGGATCCTCAGCAACTTCTACAGCTGCATCACTGTCTGGTATGGCAGCGCTACTGCTATGGACCGCAAGCGCCTGCAGAGACTGGCAAAGACTGCAGAGAAGATCACCAGGACTCCAGTGCCCTTTCTGCAGAGCATTTCCTATGCAGGGTGCGTAGGAAAGCTGCCTCATTCCTCAAGGACCCCCACCCACCCCCAGCATGGATTGTCCATAGCCCTACCCTCCGGCCGGAGGCTCAGAAGTGTGAAATACAGGATCACTAGACTGAAAAACTCTCTTTCCGACTGCCATCAGACTCCTAAACAACTGACTCAGGATCTACCTCATGTAATTCCATCTGTACTGTTTACATCCTCATTTTTCACATGCATAATTGCACACTCACTGCTGAGTATTTACACTCCATGGCTCCCACATAGCAAATAATCTCTCTGCATTATATTGTGTTCTTGTATTTTTATTTGCTTCCTTCACTTGCTGCTTTAAAGTGCCTTAGATGTGTCATCTACTTTATATTTCACTTGTATTATGTGGCATTCATGTGGACGGCAAAGTAAGAATTTCATTGTACAGGAAACACGTTTCATAACTGTGCATATGAAAAATAAACACTTTGACCTTGACCTTTGACCAAAGACAGACATCAGATCTATACCAAGAATTGAAGGTGAGAAAGTTTAACTTATGTAATTTTAATTTGTTGACAAATTGTTCATATTTTGAAACGGTACCGTTATTGTTTGTGAATTGTGTCCACTTTCTGTGTTGCAGCAGTGCTCCATACACATCCACAAAGGGTAATGTTAGCTTGTTTAAGCTAATGAAGCAAAACTAAATAACATGAGCTGGTGCTGCTCATAGCGTTAGTACCCTACCGACATTACCATTCAGCCTGTCAGCATATAGCAGTGTGTGTTGGCATGCCGTGTGTGCAGCAGCCTCTGTGGGTTTCTTTGCGCTATAAGTTACCCGAGTTGAAATGCTGTGCAATAACAGGTTGAGTTTGGTTCATAACACACAATTGTTTTAAATTCTTGAAGAACATTTTTTGTAATATTAATATTCTTTCTTGTCATTTATTACACCTTGGCTATTTATTATTTGCATTCTTTTTTCATATTTGTGTGCAGAGTTTGCATGTTCTCCCTGTGCCTGCATGGGTTCTCTCAGCATACTCCGGCATCCTCCCACAATCCAAAGACATGCAGCTTAGGTTGACTGGTGACTAAATTTCCCGCAGGAGTGAGTGTGAGTGTGTGTGATTGTTTATCTACACGTCAGCCCTGTGATAGACTGGTGATGTGTCCAGGATGGACCCCGCCTCTCAGCTGGGATTGGCTCCAACCCGCTCGCGGCCCTATTCAGGAATAAGCAGTATAGATGATGGATGGATGGTACCGGCTACCAAAATTGTGCTATCTTTTGTCATAGCAAATCCTTTCTGACAAGAGCATCAAGGATCAGATTCACTGCAGAGGTTCCATAGGCTTCTGTTATTGCGATGTTGTCCTTGGTTTGGCTGTGCATTCTGAATCACTCTGACACCCTCAGCTGACATGAAAAGGTTAGCCACACAGGGTGTTCCACTCACCTTGAGCACACAGTTACTGTTTACCAGAAGGTTGCCAGGTTTGATGTCTCGATGTAGAATGCCAGCAGAATGAAGGTATTTCAGTCCTGGTGGTGGAGGATGAAGAGATGACAGAAGATTACATTAAGTGGTGGCCATTAACCTAACTTGTAAACATACTGTGCATTTCATCACCAATGCTGTTTAACAGAGAACATCTCATGGACATCTACAGTCATGGCTAAATACACTGCCACTCCTACATTTCTGTCAGATAACTCACCACTTCTCCCAGAAAATTGTTGCAAACACAAATTCTTTGGTATTCTCATGTTTATTTCTTTTGTTTGCATTCCAACAACACAAAACAAGCTAAATCTGATCCATTCCACACAGAACTCCAAACATGGACTGTACAGCATTATTGTCACCTTTTCAAAATCATCAGAAATAGTTATATTCCAAGCAGGTGATGCTCCTTTCATTTGTAACAAAACTCACCTGTAGCAACCAACAGGTGCTGGTGATATAAATCACACTGGGAACCAGTTAAAATAGAGAAAAATTGACCCAACCTTTGTGTCATGTGGACCACACTGAGCATGGAGAAAA